TGGTGCAGGAATGAGTCCAAAACCTCAGGTACACATTTTAGCACTTCCTGTCACCACGTAAGGAAGTTGACTTGCATGAGACTATGAGAAAATGGCCATAATTCACTCTGAATTTGCCAGAAAACAATGTTATGAAATCAAAATGTTATGATTTATTGGTAGTTTTAAGGGATTTTCCCCAACTCTGTCAAGATTCGTGCAGAAAGAAACTGACAGAAGACCACAGCCATTCTAAATACAGCTTGGTTTATGAATATTCAAGTGGAAAAAGTGCATTGAAATATAAATGTGGTCTCATTGTAGGGACTCAGAGGGCTGAATATAAACAGTATACTACGAGGTCTCGCCCACATATATGCACAGAGCACTAAAATAGAGCTGTTCCTTTAGTGCAGGCAAAGCACCGACACACAGACATTCCCCTAAACCACTCCGGGTCGCTGACACGTAAACAAACACACACACACACCAACACACACATTCATATCCAGATGGAGGCTGACAGCAGGCTTTGGGCAAATGGCTTCAAATGAGGAACACATGAGCTTCTCCCTGTGTGACGGCTTTCACATGCTCCTGCAACCTCACACACCTCCGGGGCCAGAGGAGAATGGGCGTGTGTGTGTGTGTGTGTGTGTGTGTGTGTGTGTGTGTGTGTGTGTGTGTGTGTGTGTGTGTGTGTGTGTGTGTGTGCGAGTGTGTGTGTGTGGGAGATAACCAGGAGTAGCTGGACAAGACAGGAAGAGAAGAACAAGAAGGAGGAAAAAGGATCGTGTGTGGGAGATTTCTTCTTCTTGATATTCTCATTGAAAAACTGGCATTTAAAAAAAAAACTGTAGAGAGCCTAAGTGAGAGGTGGTTATGTGTAACAAAGCAGAGTAGGATGCCCGAAACAGCGAGAGTACACATTAGAGTGTGTGTGGGTGTGTGTGAGAGAGAGGCACAATGAGAGTTTGTCCAAATCAGCTTCTATTGCAGTCAGCGTTACACATGTTTGTCCTGGATCGACACGCAGTTTGGCAAATAGCTTCCAGGTAAACACTCTGGTACGTCCAACATTATGAGGCTTTAAAAAGTTTAATATTCAGACAAATACATCAGTGAGAAGCATCTGAGGATTTGTGTGTGGCAGCAGTGATTTGCTTCACTTCAGGTCTGGCCACCTTCTAATATTTACTGTACACTTGGAATATTGTGCAAATACAGGCGTGAAAAAGGACTATTTACCACAGCAATGATCCGTGAAAGATAACATGTTTGGTGTCATCTTAAACAAGTTGTGTTGTAAGGTCAGAACAGCAGGGAAGGTGACCTGTCCAATATTTATGAGCAACACAAGCTAAATGTCAGGATCAAACAGAGGATGGCATTTTGATTCAGCTCTCCTCCTGGACTCAGCTGGACTGTATCACAGTTTAAATGACCCTTGTATCGTCCTGGAGGATAGGCCAGGTCTCTCTCACTCATTGGAGTAAAGTCTGGTGATTTAGTTTGATAAAATGTCAGAAAATACTGGACAATAACCATTACAATTTCCCAGAGACTGCCTTTAGTTTGTCAAACAACCGTCCAATGCCAAACATATTTGATTATATTTTTGGGAAAACTAGCATATATTCACATTTAGGGAGGTGGAACCAGAGAATCTTTTATTTACTTTGTGTCAATGTACTTATTCATTGGTTACCGCCTTTTGGGTCTGGCTTACTCTCTTTTGGATTGGTTCATTTGAAGGATTTGTAGAGTCCCAGAGAGGTCAAATAAATGCAGAATATCACAGAAAAGATAGGTAAGAATAATGTGAAATATGTAGATACAATCATTTTCAGATTTGGAGCTTGGTTACCTATGGAATAATCCATTAAAATATATAGTTTCAACTCTTTGAATGTGAGTTATAGCAATACAACCAACCAAATATTAAAGGAAACCAGCCATTTGTTGTTATGCATTGAACAAATGCTCGTATTTGACATAAATGAGCTATTCCTTTAAAGGTTTACTTGATTTGAAATCAGTGTGGAACCATCTTGCAGTCCCTCTCTAGCTCTTAATATGCTCCTCTGCTCAGGTCGTCACAGATTTTACATAAAAACCATAGAAACGATGAGAGGCTGATTAGCAGGAAGTCTCTCTTTGTGCTTCGAGGCTGCAGCACCGCTCTGCCCCTCCACGCAGAGAATTCATCAAAACCTGCACCCATCCAGACGATGATGTAATCTCTTACGGTTCTCATCTGAACATCATAACCAACGGCTGGCGAGCCAACAGGGCCTTATGCAAGAGCAACGCACACACACACACAGGGAAGAAGAAAGGTGTGTGTGAGCAGGACAATCATTTGCAACAAAGGGGACAGACTTGAAAACAGTCGATTCAAATAAAGAAACCTCACATGGGAGGAGCGTCCTCTAATCAAAGCGTCTCATGCTAATGGATTCAGATGTGATGGTTCCTCAGAGAGCACCGCTGATGTCTCGTTATCCGAGTCCTGAGCACAGTGTCGCTGCGCAGACGTGCAGATTACAGATTATTATTATCGGGCGCAATCAGGCAAAAAAAGATCAACCCATACCCACAAACAGCTTAGAGCATAAACCCTGCCTGTGTTCACTTTCCTGTTAGTAATTACTCTCAGCTCATGCACCGAGACACAATAGGGTTGCAATCAAGAACATGAGCTGTTTACCGTAATGAAGACAGCTAATCAACAACAGCAAGACTGTGAACGCAACACCTGATGCAAACACATGAGGTGAAGAGAGGTCAGCCAAATGTGGAATCAAATCATACGTATGCAGGTAACAGAGACCCACATATCACTGTTTAGCCTCAGCCTTATTTTTACATTAATTTTGGCTCTTTAAAGACGTTGTTATTCTTGCGAAGTGTGGAAGTCTAACCCCAGCTCCTTTATCAAAATAACATTATCATTACACTATTATTACACCTAACTACTTCTTGTAAAAAGATGTTTCCTGTGGGGGCGGGATTTTATTTCAAAAGTGTTTTATGCATGTAACGTGCGGGAATTGTCATGTTTTGTTGAGAATGCAAAGATAGAAAGAGGAATAACTTTGTAAATAACCCTTGTTTGAGGAAACACACATACACACTAATACAGAAATGTTGGCACCAATATGTTTTAAAAAGTTGGAGCTGTTTTCCAAATGTACTGAACTGAATTAAACTTGATATCATATTTGTTAGATATTCAGCTAATACATCTGAGGTTTGACTTAACGTTGAGAAGCTGCAGAAAATCGAAGATGATTCCATGTTGGATATTTTCACACACATCGCTCCATTGTCAAATCATGCATCGGGGAGTTCTGTAATCCCAAACATAGTGAGGAAGAGGAGGCAGCTCAAGCTCCTTACACGAGTCTCGCCTTCTTGCCTCCACTGTAAGTCTTCAGCTTCTTAGCAGATGCTGTAAGCTTATGGTCACATTCCAGATGTCAAAGACACACACAAACGATTACACCGACAAATAGGCCATCCTCCAATCCGGTCTATTTCTGTCCGGTGGTGTGGGGGGGGGGGGGGGGGTGCACTCGGTTGCACAACACCACACCAGGAGCACCACAGAAGAAGAACAATACAAAATGGTGATTAAGGAATTCAGAGGGTTAATTGCTCATTTTAAATATGGCCGTCCTCCTGTTCAACCGTCTTCAGGGTCTTTAAACAAACTCGCCCACTCTCTCAATTAAAGTGGCATGATGAAGGCCCTCGCTGTGACGATGCCTCAGGAGGCGATGATGTAATGTCTTTTTAAACGCATCCCGGACCCCCGCTCTCCTGAGCCTTACGTCTTACTCAAACTGTGACCCAGCAAAATTACAGAGTCCAAAGAGTGCTGCAGGAACGACAAATATGTCTGACCTTTTACAGAAAATGGTGTGAGTGCTGACATTTAAAAGTCACAAAAAAATAACATTGAGGTAGAAATCTGAATATTTGCATCCAAATTAGCCAACTTCCACGTCAGTTTACTTCTAGTGCTAAAAACATTTCAATATCTTCCCTAGTAGTAACATTATGTCATGCTGGAGCACATTTTCTTAACTTTATACTAAAATACTAGCTTTTTTATCACGCTGGGGCCAAAAATCCTAATATTTGCTTCCAAAAAACTTCAATTTGACTGATTTTTAAAAAGATTTTCTTCCAACATAGTTTCATTTGGTAATGCTGGAGATACAAATTTAAATGCTGTGATGCTGAAGCTGAAGAAAATATATTTGTGTTTTCAATATTGTAACAATTTATAACATGGAAGCTACAATTCTGAATATCTAACTTAACATGGTGTATTTCCATGCCATTTGCTGAAGCCAAGTCACTTCAAATATGTGTCTTTTCCAATGCATTACCTTCACTTGAACACATCTGCACACATAAGTGAGTAAAGCCGGGGAAACACTGGCTGTTACTGAGAGGTGTGTACAGCCCTCAGGCCGATGCGATGCATGCACTCAGGCCAGATCAGCTGCAACCCTCTGCACTGATGTGTAAATAAAAAGCAAACTGACCTCCAGTCATCAACAATGATGCTATCCTGGCGATTTAGATACAACTGTAATCTGTACATTCAAGATACCCATTGAAAAAACTGTAAAAGTGACTCCACTATCATCACTGCTGTCCCAAAACAGAAGGGTGTGATTTTGTTTACTATAAGACAAATCCACTCTGTATGGGCGTGAGTCCACCAGTGCACACACACACCTACACTCCTCCAACACACACCTTCAACAGAGAGGCAGCAACAGTTTGTTTGGACACAGTCGACTAATTTATGACTGGATTTGGTAAAAAACACATTTATTGCTGAATGTATTTAGATTGCACCCATTAACATTGGTTTAATGAGCATGCGCGTGTGCCATTAGATGATGGTAATGGGTTTGTTGCATGCCAGAATTGGATGTGTGCACCCCCCATTAACATGTCTGAGGGGTTGTGACTGATGGACACAAGCATCAATGGTGCACCTTGCAGCCTCCATGCATCAACACACCGCTGCTCACACAATACACAGGCTTCATATGTTGCAGCAACGTCGACTAATCAGATGACGGATCGGACACTGAGCCACACAAAGTCCACACCTCGGTCGTCGTCGGCTAATTTTTAAATAGAGGGGAGTGGCGGAAATAGGGAAGCTG